AAAAAAAAAAAAAAAAAAAATGGAAAAGAAAGCTCACGCTTTGGTTGCAGCATAGATCGTGTAGAGAGGATATGACGAGACGCAGCCCGACGAGCCCGACCCGACATTCACGATCACGCTTTTCGAGCCCTTACCCTTCCTCGCCAGCATCTGCCCAATCACGGCCCTCGTGACCCAGGTGGTCCCCACCACGTTCACCCCAACCACGCCATCCGTCAGCTCCACGCCCACCTCGTGTGCGAACCTCGCGTACGGGTACGCGCGCCCCACGTTGTTCACCAGGATCCCCAAATCCAGCCCCTCCGCCGCCTCGCCCACCACCTGCGCCACCTCCTCCGGCCCGCAATCGGAGAAATCAACGGCCGCGGTTCGGATCGATACCGCCGGGTGCCGCCGCCGGATTTCCTCCGACGCGGCGCGCAGTTTGAGCGGGTTCCGGGCGACGAGGACGAGGTTGAGGCCGCGGGAGGCGAATTCGGCGGCGAGGGCGAGGCCGATGCCGTCGGTCGAGCCGGTGACCATGGCCCACGGGCCGTAGGTTCGCTTGAGGTCTATTTCGGGCCGGAGGAAGGCGGTCCAGATCCATCTGGAGAGGCGGAGGAGGGATTTGGAGAGGATTATGAGCCCTAAATAGACTGATAATTGGATGGTCCAATTTGGTGGATCCATTTCTGGCCGTGACAACTGAACAGTGTATATATATACAGGTCACATAAAAAAATTGTGTGTCAACTAATCACTCATGTTCCAACGCCTGGGCATTTCAGTAAATTAATGAATTTCTATCGCCTCACATGAAGCCCCCACAAGACCAGATTTGCAGCCACCGAATCTTTGAGAAATGTTAGTCTTATTACGGAACTATTCTGTCGGGTTTGTAACCCCGATAGAATAGTTCCGTAACGAGATCGTAACATCTTCCGAATTCTTTATTCATTCATTGCTAACGTGGTTGGGGAAACAGACTAATCCCGAATACATAGTCAAATGCGACTGTTTAATTTAGAAAAATTATCTCTTAATTTGCTTTGATTGTTTTTAGCTGTTAGTTTAGTTTAGAAATGTTAACGAAGATTATCCCAACTCTGGTTGTTTGTAAATGTAGCCCACTTTTTATATACACAAGTAAATCATATCATTTTTTTTATTACTTAAATAAATACTAATAATTTTATTAATATGATAAATTTACTTGTTTTATATAGAATGTTTACTCTACTATAAAACCAACTATAAAACCAATTGTTGGATTCAAACAAATTTGTTTCATGTTTAATTTAGAAATATTACCATTAACTTCGGTTGTTTTCAGATTGAGCTAGGTGTCTTGATAATTATCCAATTTCAAATTATATGGCGAATTTGATACTACCTCTTATTCTTTTTAAATGTCATTTTGGCTTTATCAACTATTAACTAAATAAATGTCGTTTTGGATCTTTTGTACATGTTTTTCCCATTATTACCCTCATTGAGTCAATAAATACACTACGTCTTTTCATATTCACTCTTCATTTTTTCTTAAAACATTCATCTCTATCTTCATTAAATAGGGTTATTATTGACAACAAAAATATTTTTAATTATTGTGCAACTTCTCAAAACGACATTTATTTTGAATAGAGGGAGTATCAACTTTTTTTTTTATTTGTTTATTTAGCCAAGAATTATATAACTAATTTTTTTTGGTTTCGTTTTTAACTTCAACGTAGAAATCTTGGACAAATTTGTATTATAAAGTTCCAACGAGAACTGTTTGTACATTGATAACAGTCATTACTCATTAGCCATTAGTCATAACTGATAATCATTACTCTTTGATGAAAACTGTCGCATTTAATTTTTACACTTTTCCGCTATACTTTACCACCAACTCCTTGAGCCTTGTGTATGAGGAAATATATTTAATGCCATAGACAATTAGATTGCAACAATAAGCCCCTACCTTGGTGTGGCGTAAGTAATTCTTTCTCTGGAATAAAGCCATTCTTGATTTGGTCAGACTGTTTGGCAACAGCAGTCCAGCACCAAGTTAGATAGAAATCGTGTGTCGAGAAGCACGCCTAGTTCCTCTTCCTTCCAGATTTTTTTTTTTTCTTTTCTTTCAGTCATTGAGGTTCCAAGTCACGAATACTAGAACCGGACTTTCTTGGGCTGTGTTCGTGGTGAAAAGGGTCATCCACACAGTGAATAGAACTCAGCCTGTTGGAAAAACTCCAGCCATTGTGTTCGAGCTCGTGCTCGAATGCTTTCATTCTAATCTCTTCTTTTAGCTTCATGTAGAACGTTGATGACCAATAGTTGTTTGCCATATTCTTCAAAAGATAAGCCAAAATAGGAAAAAAAAAAATTACAGATCAGCATAGGGAAAAAAAAATATATATTGAAGGTTAACTAAAATATCCTTGAGGTTCAGTTCAAAATGCACACAATTCACAATGATAGTAATAGACATGTTACTTCAAATAGAGCGTTTATGGAAATTATGATTTATATTATAATCACTAACTTCAACCGCATATTTGGAAATCGGAAGTAGTACTTCTACTTTTTACTTAGTGATAGTGTTTTTCTTAAACTTCATGAAAAATGCAAGAAAACCTAGCTTTGTAATACAGATGAAGTATAAATTAGAGATCACTGTGCTAAACTTTAGAGGTATGCTTTGTAAATTAACCTAGTATATATACCAATTAAACATGTATATGCAAAATCCCAATTGAACATACTAACCATTTTCATCAACTGTATCAACTCATTTAGTGCATTTTTAAAGAGATTGGGGTGCGCCAAATCTGGAGTGGATAGAATTTCTTGCCTACATCGATGAGAAATGTTCACCTCCATGGCTGCACCTGTCCAGGGTAAATTCATGGAAATTATAAGATAAAACTTCCACAATAATTATCTTTATGATCAGAAAAGATTAGGAAGGGGAGCTGAAAAGTCAACGTGAAAGCAAAAGAGTACACTGCACCAGGAGTGATATAATGGTCGATAATGTGTCGTGCCATGTAAATTCTTCTCACATGATCGGTAACTGGAATTTTGTCAAGCTGTTGAACCTCCTCATAGAAATGGACACTCTCCCCAGCCATGCAGCTTCATTAGTCGAATAAATAGGCAAATCTTAATATAATCACAGAAGGAACCAGTATATATAAAAAGAGAAGGGATAATCACAAAAAAAGACCTGAGATTTGAGATATTTACCAAACCAGAAAAGTGTTTTGAAAAAAAAAAAAAGAGACTTAATAGTTGATCATTACATTCATTAAAATTATCCCCTTAAATTAAGGTAAAAACAAATATGTAGAGGCTTATTGTAATTATGAATTTTTCTGTGGTTTTTCTATTTTCAATATTTTTTTTATAAAAAAAAATACCCCAAATCTGAGTGTCTAGTTTCTGAAATTATCCCTTAAATTTAATGGAGAGAATGTGATCCAACGGGCAATATACACCTATCGGCAAAGTCCATATATGAGCGACGGAATCTTCTGTTCATAAGAAGCTTATCCAAAGGCACACTGGGATTTACCAAATGGGTCAGTTCCCGGTCCACTAGAAGCCCGCTATCTGGTATACCCAGAGCCCAGCCCATCATACCGCTCACTGGGTGGTTCTTTTCCCTCATGCTCATAAGTGAGACGAGAGGTTGTGATATTGATGTAGTAAAAAATGCCAGCACAAGGACACTTGTCTATGAAACAATTAATCAAGAACATATCATGAGAACAGAAATGCAGAAAACGAAAACTACAATGAATGAAGTAGAAGTGAAGTCAAATTAGAATAAAAGGCTGATTAAACGATTAAGTAATATAATCAAACTATGTATACCATAAGAAGTAATACGGATCTTGAAATGATTTGAAGTAACGCGTTACTCTCATGTGTCTCGTTCAAGACGTAAGAAACCACCCATAACCCTGAAGAAAAATAAGAAAAGCCCCCGTCAAATTATTGAGCTACATATACTTGAAGCGGGGAAAAATTATAGGAACAAAGAACAATACAGAATGTGTTACCGAGTCAATAGCAGAAATATTTACTATGCGTTAGGTGTTGACTTTGGGCTGTAATGTCCAGCTAATGTTTATGAGATAGAGAGGATTTAAGTGTTCTGTTTTCAAATATTAAAAAATGTTTTATGCTTCACTTATATCAACTTAAAGGTTCTTTCGATTCTTTTTTCTTTCTTTTTTTTTTTTT